TAGACTGGAAGAAACATTTGAAGAAAGTCGGAAGCCCGCTTACGGAACAGTCGAAAGAAACAAAGACATAATTCTGGAAGAAAGAGTTTCCTGGGGGATGTTCTAACATCCCTGAAGACTTCGCAATTTCCTTGTATTTTTCGAAACATTCCTGAAATGCGCTTAGAAATATTCCACAATTCCTTGAAATTCCTCAAAAGTTCTTGTAATTTTCCTGAAATTAGGAGCTGTTTTGGAGTTCTCTGGTCATCCTCGAAGTGCTGGGAATTTCCCTGATTCTAATGGGCAAACCGGAATATCTCTAATCATTTTTCAAGGTCTTTGGACTTTCTTGAAGATTACGAAATCTCTTAAGTGCTCTCACATTTTTAAATTTATTGTAACATCATCATTGAAACTCTCTGATCTTCCTGATTTTTTTTTTATTTTTAAAAATTATCGACACTGCCATTAAAAAACATAGAACTTCCCATAAAATGTTCTCACAATAATCTAATGATCATGTAACTTCCCTTACGTTTCCTAAATTTGCATGAGTCCCTCAGGACATTGGTGATGTTTTCGGAATTTGCCTGAGTTTCTCGGAACTCCTTTATAATTTCTGCAATTTCATTGAAATTCAGTAAGTTAAACAAAAATGAATAAAAACGTCCGAAAATTAAATAATGTTTAAAAAATATTTCTCGGTTCCCTAGGAATTACCGGAAAGAGCCATCGATTGATGGGTAGCCAATCAAAAGGAGGAAATGCAAACATTAGTCGAAAAAGTATCAATCATAAGGCATCTTTAGAGATGATTTTTTAGAATTTTCTCCAAAATTCAAACGTGGGCAGGCAATAATAATTTTGATTATTAAAAAAAAAAACGGTATAAATCGGTATAAATTCTTAAAAATCGGTATTCTAAAGAACCTTATCTGTATATCGGTATCTAGTTTGGAAATCGGTATAAATACCGATAAATCGGTATATCTGGCAACGCTGTCTTCCGCCTCTTGCTCGAGCTCATGCTACACGCTATTTCGTTAGTACCCAAATTTGGGTAGAATCCACCCAGATCGGTCAAAACTGAACTTACCCAAAAATGGGTAAACTATGTTGTGAGTGACAAGTTGACAAATGAACAAAGTCGATCGAATTCATGTAGATGTTGTCCATTTGTCAACTTGTCACTCCCAACATAGTTTACCCATTTTTGGGTAGGTTCAGTTTTGACCGATCTGGGTGGATTTTACCCAAATTTGGGTAGTTTTGAAATAGCGTGTACTGTTTTGGGGACATTCTTCCTTTTCATCACTTTCCAAGTTGCACTCAACATTCATACGTTCGTCAAAGTCGGAAGGGCGCTCCTCCGCATCGCTATTTCCGTCATCCACGTCACTACCTCCTCCACCGTTTGGAGGCACAATGACAAACTCGATTTGATTTTCCGTTGAGACTAGATTTTCGAAAGAATCTTCGATTTAATCGATCCGAATATTGTACAGCTCCTGAGGATTATCGGAAAGTGGATATTTCCTATGGAGAAAAAAAAAAATACCGTATCACCCCACGGTATGAATTTTCATACACTCAAATGCAAACAAAAATTTTTATATTGTGTCACATATTTTGTCGGATGTTGTGATAGAACAGAGCTAATAAACTATAGAGGAAGAATAGCGCTGCCGTTGCTGTCGAAACATCTTTTCCTAACATCTAATAGGGACACAACTGTCAAAGCGAGAAAAAACTATGCAGTTTGACCGGTGAACACTCGTGTTTATTTCAGTTACCGTGGGGACGTGATTTGTTATTCACCCCGGTCCCTTTCAAATTGTATTATTATTTATGTATGGTCCTTATATTTGAAATGACGTTTCACATTCATCTAGTGATGGCCGATTTACATTCGAATAATCGATTAATCGATTAACGAACCGAAAAGTAAAATATTTGTAATCGGTTATATCAAGAGCAAATTTTCATTACGTCGAATGTAACAAAGGTAAACAAAGTCGAGCTATCAGTGTCAATCGATTCTCCTGCTATTACACTATATACTGTCCGAATATAGGATCAAATCCCATTTTTAAATTTATTTGCCAGTCAAATTGCTTTTTGACGTAATCACCTTCCGATAAAAATAGTTTTCGATGTTACTTAAGTCACCCAATTTCTATGGAGATGCCGTTTGACTTAAGTAACAGCGCTGAGAAACCCGTGAAAAGTGTACGTTCGTCGTTTCGCTTTCTCATTATTAAGGTGAATAAATCGAACTTTTTGTTGCTAAGATGATTTCGGTAGTCCTAAAATGATGAATGGGCTGCAGGTAAGAAGACGTAATTGATAATTCTCCCGAATATCCTGGTAAATACACTTTGACTTAAGTAACAATAGGGGCCACCAAACGACGTATAATAACTTTTGACTCAAAAACCAGTATTTTTTAGCATGAAAGCTAGCGATTTGCATTTGTATGATTAAAACCCTGCTAAATATGTTAAACATTGCTATCACTATGAGATTATATGTGTTTACTTGGAAATAGGAATAACTTTTCAATCATCAAAACAAAACTTTATTTTTCTCGGATTGGTGCGAATGTTACTTACGACATAATGAAAATTTGCTCTTGATATCATGGCGATATAAGCAATTGACAAATCCAAGTTTCACTCGGCCACCGTGGCGCTGCAATCGCAGCGGTGATAAGTCCGAAATAATGTGTCAAACTGAATACATTTTTGAAATTTCAACCAAAAAACTATTATTTTGTATTTATTCTAGCGAGTTTCTGTGGGAGTCAAAACATGATCCGAGCAAAAAAGTAGTACTCGTAATAATGGTATATAATTCTGAATTTTATCGTGCTTTGTTTCGAAAATATCTTCCAAATAAACAAACATCATCCAGATCACCCGATTCGTCCACCGACTAAATCTATTGCCACTTAAAAATTAATTTCAGTCGGTGTATTAATCAGCAGATTAAATCGTTTTTCGTCTGGTGCTACACCGAGCAATCGGCCTATTTAATAGTTTTTCGTCGATGGATTTAGTCGGCCAACTTTGTCTGCTGTTCAATCGGCAGATGATTTCAAACCTTAACATGTTTTCTGTAATTTAACTGTCTTGAAGTAGCTTTTTATTTAGGAACAATGCATTACAAAATAATGTTATGTATTTTGTACAAGGTTCATCCATGCTGACAAGAAATTTGCATGAAATTACATTGAAATTAAACAATTTTGCAAACAATCAATGAAATTGTCAAGGGTTGTCACAGACTTATCACCGTCGGTTAGTGCTTATTCCTGCCACCAGGCGCGCAGGAGTTTAAGTTGGATTTCTCAATAACTTCTTCAGAGGATCATCACCGATCGTTTCAAACATGTGCTACACTCTCATTGGTGGAAAAATGACAGCACAGCGAATGTTGTTAATCGAGTAATTCAAAAATGGGACATCTCTGATTTTGGTGTGATTGTTTTGATAAAAAAGTGCGCAAAATTTTTTCTCTACCGAGGGTGCATCTAAACCACAAAATTACCTTGCATACGGGGGGTATTCATTGGATGAAAGGGACCGTGAAAGAGGACACTAAAACAGAAAGTTTTTCTTCCGACAGTTTCATCTTATAGCGAATTCGTTCATTATTCAGTTCCAACCTGGATCGGGTATCAAGATTGGGTCTGCTTGTTTTCTGACAAACGTCAGTTTGCTCGTTTGTTTTTAAAACCTAGCTCAGGTTGAGGTTCACACTGACAAAAAGTTCGGTTTCGCACTGGGTAGGAACTGGTGTTAACCCCGACAATAAACGAATTCGCTATTAGTAGGTATTCATCTTTGGTTTGACAGTTCTGTACCCGGTATTATTCAACATCGGAACAAAGGGAACACCAGCGCTATTCTTCCTCTATAGTAAATTAGGTCTATTTGTGATAGATATAACTTTTTTTTAACACCAATCGTAGTGTTTTGTCACAAGATGGAGGAATTGGCAATTATTTTTTTTTTTCCTCTGTTCGGGACATAACACCACTGCGACCAGTAATTTGATCTATTGTAGTATTTCCCGTGTCCTTAGTTTAGTGCATGTCGTATTACTCCATCACTATTGAGAAATGATGAAGTATTCGGTTTTGATACAGTTGTCATTCTTGCCTTCATCGCAAGGAATCGATTCTAACTGAAAGGTTCCGCTATTTATACCCTTCGGAGTTGGAACACCCTCCAAAGGCGCGCCCCTTTGTCAGTCAAAATTGGATTCCTTAACAACAAAAACAAGCTATGACACCGATAATGACCATGCATCAGAACCCTAGTCTTAACCACTTCAAACTAGGGAACAACGATTAGAAGATTAGGAATCACATAGGTGAAGACTAACTAACTCATTTTTTCCTTGTTTCAAGATCATCCTCGGTCCAGGCAACCCGAGGACTTATCACTATCAACAAGGCATAAAAAGTAACAAGGACTAAGATGTGTTCCTTTGATTACTGAAAAATCCTGTTCCCCTAGTTTGAAGAAGTTATGACTAGGAATCGGTGGTAGATCTTACATCCCGTAACGTACCACGAAAAGGTGATCTACCCACGTTACGGGGCTGGCAATTATTTTAAAACTAAATTTAAAGAATTGTGGTGTTTACTTTTTCGCTTCCATTTTTCTTAACTTTACACAGTTCAAAATACAGATAAAATGACAAAAAATGACAGATATCTTAACACACATAGACATTTGAGGAGTCGAGTGAGGAGTAATTTATTCAGTAGTGTTATCGCAAATCTGTCAGATATTGAAATTGCACAGTAAATAGTTTTGTGTATGAAATTTCATACCCTAGGACATAATGGGTTAAAATGTATAAATATTACAAAACAAAAATTATGTTAAGTCTGTAATCACAATTTTCTTTCAAACATATTGACCTTGCTTCGCATATGAACACAGGGGAAACCGCAAAACTAACCTAACAATTTTGTTTCCCTATTTTCCATCTATTATATTCCACAGCTATCGGTAATGGCCGGTGGAATGACGCGTATGTACGGTGCAGCCACCATGGTCGGCAAGGACGAACGAAACGGTCGAATAAACCCGGCCCTGGAGGCGGACGATGACTTACCGGTGGTGGAAGCCAAGCGACAAATGGAACAGGAGAAGCTACAGCAGCAGCAGCAGCAGCAGCAATTCTCCGGCGCCGGTGGAGGTGGTGGAGTATTTCAGAGCGATGGCAGCGTGGTACCCGGGATCCAGGGCCATACGGCATTTTGAAATCGGATGCAGCAGTAAGGACTGCTCGCACCAGTATTACACAGTAGTGGTACATAGAAAAGGGGCATCTATTATCTATGGGAAAGAATACACATGCTTTTTCGAGGTTAGGTTGTGTTCTGCACTCTCTTTCCCTATAGCTGCATGCTAAATTAGGGTAGCAAGAAAAACTGGAACAGGTTTCCGCTGCTGCACGCGCCGTTATGGGTTTTGCGTTATGATTTAGGAAGGGTAGTTTGTGAAGGAGATGTGCATAAATATTTGGGATAATTAAAAAAAAAACAGCAAACGATACATATCAAACTGAGATTAATGTTTTTAGTGTTTAGTTTCTGGACTACTGCAACTGAAACATATCAAATTAGGGGCTTAAAAAAACAAAGCATTAACAGACGGAAATCGTTCTTGAAATACATAATCAGACTTGCAGGTTTGAGGTTAAAATGTTATCTTTAATGGGTGTGAGTTTCCGAGAGTTTTAACTTGCGATAAGGATCAAATCAGCGAAACGCAGCAATTTTAGTAGCATGTAAGAGAATCAACATTTTGTTTTCTATTAACTTATGTTAATTGTATCTATGTATGATGAATGAGAACGATACAGTTAAGGGAGGAACATTGAGGAAACTATTATAAAAGGGGTTTTGTTGATATAAGTCGTTACTTTTTAATGCCAGGAACAACGTAACCAATTGTACAAATATATTGTTTAGTAAAGGAATTAAAAGTATTATCGTTTTTCCACTACAAACTGTCAAACAGCTTGCAAGTTTCCCTCAAATGTTGAATGGAAAGTGAAAGTATATATTGCGGTTGTTACTTTTTCATAGTTTATTTTTTTAATTTAGTTCAGAAAAGCTTGAATGATACAAACAATGCTAATATAGGTGAATGTTTCAAAATAAAGAAAAAGGTGAAACCCATCAGATGAAATATATCTCAAAAAATCAGTCAAAGGTGCTAGAAGAATAGTCAATGAAAAAGAGTTATTAGCCATTTGTTGAATCTGAGGTGTGACTAAAACAGAGATGTGTGAAATGTATTTGTTGTACGGGTGTATGATTAAGTTTGCTTGTTTATATTTGTTTACTCGATTTTATTTTTCCTACACAGGTTCTTTTTTCAAACTCATAAGCAAAAACAAGAGATCGATAATACGTGTATTGCTTGTAAGAAGGAATATAAAAATAAATAGAACTGACTATCGAATAAACAAATAAACTATGACAGAGCACTAGAAATAATTTTATTGTATAGTAAATGAAATTACATAATTGACCGTAGATGTTACATTCAAAAGCAAACCAATACTGAACTTTAGTCAAAGTAACGAAACACAGGCAATTACGATTCATACATATCAGAAGAAACCTGGCGAAGCAAACCTAATACATATCAATAATGGTGTCCTTCCTAACGTAAAAAAAATAGACATACAGCAAAAAAAAATACGGTCAACGTGAACGGAAGAAATTTTACAATCATTTATTATGCCTTCACTTTATGCTTCATGACTGTGTGCGAAGGTTGTTGTTCTATGCAGTTCATTTGTGTTTGATTTTCATGATTGATTGTTAAAATTTTGTTCCTTTTTCTTCGCAGGATTAAGAAACTGATGGAAATTGGTTAGTTTGAATTTTGAAATTTTTTTAGAAAACTAATATCCTTTTATGTTAAGTTCTCTCAACATAACTTATATTATTCTGACAGTAGTTATTGCAAGAAGCTTGGATATCCATTCCAGAATGTCTCAAGTTTTAATGGGTTGCAAATAATAATAATAAATAATAAAACCTTTTGTCCAGATGCCGTCGCATTCACTGTGCTAGGAGCACGTTAACATACGATCATTTTCTTACACGTATACTTAGAGCTACCCAATTTAGCACACCAACACTTAAAGTTAATCTCAACGGAAGCCTTATAGTGATATGAAATAGTGGCACCAGCAGTAAACCGAAGTGCGCTAGTTGGACTTGCGACTTCCGATGTTATAAGCGACATTAGCGAGAAATGCCGCTACGATTTTCAGTCTTACAGCGATGCCTGGGACCACATTATGGAACCAAAACCGAAATGACTGTTTTCATACAATCGTTCATATGTTCATATTTTGATATCATAAGGTATTGTTACGAGTTTAGCTCAAAAAACAGTTATTTTTTGGAACTATTTTTAGAGGTAACAAATTTGTTACAGTACCTTACGGTATCTACATAAACAAAGGGGTCCTATCTTTTCTCGTATACAAAAATCGCTGGATTTAACGCACACTATCTTAAAACTTCAAGAACACACATGTTAGCACCCACAAAACATACAATGAAAATGCAACCCCTTGTTTGCTGCACTACGGCAAACGTGGAGTTCCGGTTTTATTATTGTATGTTTAGTGGGAGTTTACATGTGTGCTCTTAAATTTTAAGGTAAAGCTTCCATAGACATTCACCCTACACGGTAACCGCAAAATACCCAATAATGACTATAAAAGACTCAATATTGACTACAAAGCAAGCATTTTGAGGGAAGCTTGAACTACCCATTAAATGAGTAAACATTTTACCCATTTATGAGTATTTGTTGCTCATAAATCAATAATTACTACTCATTTTTTTAGTTGTAATTACTCATAAATAGGTAAAATTGTACTCATTTATGGGTAGTCCCAGTTTCCCTTAAAAAATACTTGCTTTGTAGTCAAGATTGGGTATTTTAGGATTACCGTGTAAGCTATCAGAAAGGTCTGCCACACCCTGCTCAGCTGCTGTTGTCAACACCGATGAGGAATAAGCAGGCACCACATGAACAAAAATATTGTCACTACTCAAAAGTATTGATGCAAATATTATGGGTGCCGGCGTCGATTGTGTAGTGGCAAACGTGACTACACAGTTCGAAAAAGTAGTGTAAATTTCTGTTCAATATGATGCACATAAATGGAGCGTCACATATCATATACGTTTATATTATATATCATGTAAAGTTCTGACACATTTCATGCCTTGTAGCAAATATTGTATACAAAAGCCCATATTTGTAAACAACATTGTTTGCAAGTTGCTCGGTTGCGTGAAATGAAATACAAGGCTACGTGAATGAATGTTTACATCACAATTAAAATTCAGAATTTTTATCTGTGTACTTTCTCACCCCAATGGGTATGGGTGCCGAGGTCGGTGGGATTTTCCAGAGGCATAAAAATCTCTGGTCACGTCTCCCTTCGGAAGGGAAAAAAAGTCGTTGGTCCCGGCCCATGTGTGGAAGCTGCCTTCCTCCAATGGATGGCAATCGATGTCCATCGGTGAAAGAAGAAAAAAGGAGAAGAAATGTTGCGGGTTGCTTTGGTTTTTAGACTCACGTGCAAATATCAAATCGTGAACAACATATGTGTGTTCACTAGACTGATGCAAAATTTGACTTTTTAGCTCCACAGTGCTTAAATGGTTTCAAATCGGGTCCTGATTAGCCTCCCAAAGTTACAACTCATTTGGTTAGAAACAGACTTCGCACAAGCCATTTGAAGTTTACATGTAAATTACTATGGGAAATCTCAAGTTTTAGTTCATTGCCTTCTAGTCTTTTTCCATATATAGCTGCGAAACCGTTCGATAGCCATATCTTAAAGAAAATTTTCTCAGCTACAACTTTGCTCAAGATTGTTTCTATGTAAAACGAGACAGGAAAAATTTATTATTTATTTAAGATATTGGTAAAGTTATGACATGATCAAGCAGCTGCTCTGTAGGCAACACTGTATTTTGCAGTGTGACATAGTAGCCATGATTTTTGTGTCCTATTCAACGCCCCAGAAACACCAATGTTGCCTGCTGAGCAGTTGATTGAGCATGATCATAAGACATCAGTGCATTGAACCATTAATAACTTTCTATCCTTGCATTTAATCAAAAAGTGGTCTGGGGCAAAGTTGTATCTGGGAAAATTTCCTACAAGTACAGTTGAAAGTTTTTGAAGCAGACCGATATGGTGAATTATTAGATAGACATGACCAAAAATCTTGGTTTTACCATAGTAATTCCCATACAAACTTCAAATGGTTTGTGCCATCTCAGTTTCTCACCAAATGGGTTCAAATTTTGAGAGGTTAGTCAGTTTAAGTATTGTGGAGCGAAAATTTCAAATTTTGCATCACTCTAGTGTTCACACGTCAACGTACAAAGACAATAGCAAACCGATTATTAGATACAGCACCCTGGATTAGACCCTCGCAATACTAGAAACTGTAACAACGAAACGAACCAATATGTATATGTGTGTGTATTTCCTCTAACCCCCACTGGTCAACAGTGATATTATGTAAGATCTCTGGTCATTGTAGACTGCTTTAATCCGAGAGTTAGAAGGTGATAGCTCTATTGCAGATCCAGCAACCCATTTCAGAATGTCTGGAGAGTCACGCCCATTCCGTGGTCACTTTCACTCACGATAAGCCCCGCATGTATGCATCACCATTATCAAATGGACATTGGTTATACATACACACTTCCACTTTCGAAAATATTCTTTTCAAACGTGGTCCGAATTTTGTTTAATTTTGATATTTAATTTGTAAAGAATAATTGGACAGCTCTCACCATATTCTGCTCTTCTGCCGCCGTTGACTGCTTCTTTTGGAATCCCTTGTACCTTTTCTCTAACGCTTCGTATATTCCGTGCTTCACGCGGCAATTTTCTTCCGTAGATCGTCCTTGCTTGGTTTTGAACTTTTTTCTTTAGTATGTTCTGATTATAGCACTTCTACCAGTGATCGATGTTGTTCAAAACACCGGAGGGAAAACACGACACCAGACAAGGGGTAATCTACTCTGCACAGTGTGCCGAAGCACATCGTAGCCCACTAATCGGCACGTTAGGGAACACGATGACAAGTATGGCACAGAATATAATATAAAACAGCATCACTGCTTTGTGTTGACATTTTGCCAAGCGTTGCTAATGTTTACTACTTTGCTTACTTCAAAGTAAGGGGGAGGTGTTGTCAATTTATCAAGGTTATCCTAAATCATAATAAAATATTACACAATTGTCTACAGGGTATTTGTCGGATGTCCATAGTTTCGAAAGGATTTATGTTTTGCGGGAAACCCAAACATATTAGTCAAAGTCAGTCGATTGATGGTCCACTGACTGAGCCATCTCGGAGTTTAGATTGACTGTGAAGGCTGGTGGAGTTAGTGGATCCCGTATTAACAACTTTAAGAAGGATTCTACTTGCAGAACTGCAAAGGTAACCACACCGGAGGTAACGAAGCCCATCGGAACCGTGGTATTAATAAACGCAAGCGGAACCGCCAGTACTTTCAGGGCTATAAATATGCAATTCCGGCAAGACCAAGCAAGGACTAAAAATATGAATGAATAAAAAGCAGAGACAAAGCGGTATCAAGATCCTGGACCAGCATTTGGATGCTGTTGGATATTAGTCGATGGAAGATGTGGATCAAGGGATTTAAAGTAAGAAGTTGAGAGCCATCAGAAAGACGAAGAAGAGCAATACTAGTAAATTTTAAATTCGTTAATGATCAATCTCAGCGGTTTGGACCTCCTGTTTAAGTTGTTCAAAAGTTGAAAGTCATGGAAAATCGCAGTCGTTTGACTATCTCACCAAAATTGTACAGCTGAGTTAGAAGAATTCAGTACTCAACAGCGACAGCTGGCATTAGGAAGCTACGGAAGGAGTATTGCTGCTTCTACTATTGCCGGTGGGAATTTTTGGTCGAATCCTTCCTGATTGCCCGAGTAGCATGATGGTAATGTAGAGGCACATCTTCCATTTTCCGGTACTTGTAGTACTTATGATACAGGATTCGGTGAACGTCTACCAGAATGACACCCGGTACAGAACTTTCTTCTCATGGGTAGACAACTTCTACCATCAGTCACCCTTCTCCTTCTCGTGTAGGGGCAGAATTTCGAGGTTGGCAACGGTCATCGTATACTGGCTAACAGTTCCAGCAGTGGCCGACGATCTAGCGCTTGTCAATCTTCTCATTCGTTTGGCATCGTTGAACCAAGTATATAAAAATAACTCGTATAATCATCCGTGAGAACTTGACAAGGTTAACAAATAATCTCAAAAGTTATAACTGCAGGGTTGCCAAACTCATGGGTTACTGAGACTGACAGCTTGATTGCTACACTTTGGCACATTCAGCACAACGCTGGGCACAGCCTCGGCATAGATAAATACTCGGCTCAGATTGAGATGTGCAAAGTTGAGTACCCCTTGACACCAGAACTATTCGCAAACTTTATCAATTCATTGAGATAACCGCTAAAAATCTTCATTTTTCAAGTATCACACAACCGAAAGAGTTTTTATACGGAAAACACACAGACAAGTGAGTGTGTGTGCGTGCGTGCATTCCATCTAACCCCCACTGGCCCGCAGTGTTATTATGGAAGAACTCTCTCTACAATGTCACATTTATGGTCATTGTAGACAGCTTTAGTCCGGGAGTTAGAAGGTGATAGCTCTATTGCAGATCCAGCAACCCATTTCAGAATATCTGGAGAGTCACGCCCATTCCGAGGTTACTTTCACTTACAATAAGCCCCGCATGTAAACA